CCCCCCCCCCCCCCCCCCCCCCCCCCAGGGGGAATTGTGATCTTCTCACTTGAGCTTAAAAAAGTCATGAACTATGCACTGTTTTGAGGTCTAAGGGTTCAGCAATGTCCATAATAACACAAACTATAAGTGTTTTAACAACTAATTGTTCATATTTTTAGAGAGGTGCATCTATCTGGGCTGAAAGACCTACACCAGCTGCTCTTGTTGACGCTGCAGCTAAGGTAAGTTATGTTAGTTTTACAAAGCGATTGTTAAGATTTCCTAAAGAAACTTACAGTTATTTTGTGTTGGCAGGCAAGTCAAATGCTTAGCTTAAAGTCATTAATAATAAACTATCCAGCACTGGAGAGCTGATGCTTGGGGCTTAGTTAGCCCTTTCCTTTGGCAAAACGTCAGTTTCTTAACTGCCGCCTGGTTAGCTCAGTTGGTAGAGCACCAGACTGCTGTGTGGGAGGTTGAGGGTTCAAGCTCTAGACCAGACCAACACTTAAAATTTTAAAAAATAACTGAGGAGAATGTGCTACCTTTGTAATTACATCTGCAAATGATTAGACGTTCGTCTTCTTGGATAAGTACTGTAAACCATAGGCCCTGTCTCCTGCATCTTCAGTCTTACATGGTTAGGAGGGGACGTTAGACTTATCGAAAAGAGTAGGGCACGGAGTTCCCGGTGTTGTGGTGTGGCCTTGTCTCAGGGGTTGATGCTTCACATAGGGTTAACTTCATTGCGCCTTTCCCCTTTGGACAGAATTGTCCAAGAAAAATTGCTATATTGTCAATGCCTGTGTCTATGTCCTCTTTATTCACTTTGTGGTATTTTAGCTTATTTCTTTCTTACTCGATAATATCCAGGAGAGGAATGAAAGGGAGGGAGAAACAAGAAAGCTGATCCTAACCATTAGCGCAGGCCAAGCTATCGCCTCTCCTTTCACTGTCTATACTAGTTATTTAATGCTTTCGAGTGGTATACCGTGGAATATCCCACGAGTCACCACGCAAGCTATTAGGCGAGTGTGAATACCGAGAAAATGCAAGTTGCAAGCGGGATATTCCTTGGTGAAACAAGAGAGAGCGTTGGATAACTATTTTATACCTTGCCATAGAAAAACAGTGGCCAGGACAATCATTGCGACATGCGCGCGGCGCATGATGGGAAGGTTGGATGTACCGGTAATACCGTCGAAAATACAACGGCTTTCCTGTATTCTGATTGGCTGTGTTTTCTATGAATAGAGGGGGTAAGTTTCTAAAGAAACTGTGGTGCTGCGTCGGTGGGGAGTATAACAAGATAATTTTGGTTTTTTATCAACTGGGTTGATAATGTGAATTGGCCACCGTGAAGAGATTCGAGAGCTTTCGGATCTCTTTACGGTGGACAATTCACATTATCAACCCATTTGATAAAACCAAATTATCTTATTAAAGCCAAAGTCGATAAAACCAAGTTGATAAAACCAACCAAAGTTGTTAAAACCGAGTTGATAAAACCAAATTATCTTGAGCTTTCGAATCTCTTTACGGTGGCCAATTCACATGATCAACCCAGTTGATAAAACCAAATTATCTTGTATTTTCTATGGCATGGTATAAAGACTAATATTTGTACGCTTATCAGTAATAGTTGCCCTATTCGCACTAAGAATATCTTCTAAATGCATGGTTTTTTGTAGAATCGGAAAAAAAATCGATTTTTTTTAGCATCAGTGATATCTTTGCAGCATGTGATGTACCTTCGTGAACTGCGTCTTGCTCAGATGGAGCGTCTTATGGTTGAATTTCTCCATGGAGTTGATATTTACTTGAGTCTCAACAGAGATTCCAACGAAACGAATCCCAAGGTACTGGATTTTTGATTACTGTCACGAAAGGGGCTTGGTCACAGTATTTTGAGTTATTTTGGCCTCATACAAAAAAAAAAAATGACAAAAAAAGAGATGATAATAAACGATAGAGGAAAAAGGATGGTTGAGGATGGAGAAGATTAACACGTATTACAAAGGACGAACTTGAAAAACTTTTAACCCCCAGTAGATTAGGGTCCTTTAGATCCGAGTGCGAGTGCAAAATGTGACCACAAGTTTTTAGTGCAGAATTGCCAACTAAAGAAACTTTGTTGTACTCTTTTTCGAGCCACGTAACGTTATGGTAAAAGTAATAACTTGTCTTTGTTTCGAGAACTTGTTTTCGCAGCTTCAACATCTTTGAAAACGCGTAGTTATAATGGCGGTGGTTACCATGTTTTCGCCAGCAAAATAACACTTGTTCGTGTGCGCGCGCTCTTTCTTTGTTGGCGCGAAATTTCCTAGTCGAACGTGCGTCTTGCCGGTACACTGACGCAAGGGACTCTTGAAGTTGTTGGGTAAAGTTGTTACTACTCTGTCTTATCCTCCTCAGGTGAAAGGCCAGCTGCTTCCTGCAAAGTTCCGAGAGTTAAACCGGTTTAATTACCGGCAGCGCTCAAGGAGGTACGACGGAGACTTTCACGAAGATGCAAGGGAAGTTGTACCAGAGGACGTGCTTGCCAGTCGGAAGGCCTGGCACGAGGGAGATCAATTCGCGCAAGAGTATGAGAATAAAAAAGGGCGTGTGAAAGAAAGACAGTTTGAGCCTCCTGATCCAGTCCCCGCGCCACTTAACCCAGGCTTCACTCTGCCGAACCCAGTCCCCACCCCGGTGGACAGGCTACGGGAATCAGTGCGCGAGAGCATGAGTGATTCAGAAGCAAGCACTGCAAGTATGGAAGGCCTTAGATTCAATAAGAAACCAATAGCAAAAGGAAAAGCGACTGCAGTTCCCACTGTCAAGTCAACTCCTGGTTCAATTCCATCTCACGAGCAGCCTGTCTTCACAGAGAAGGACTTCCCGCCGTTGAGTAGTTCCGAGTCGGAGGGGCCGGGGACGCCTCCACGACAAACATCAATGAAAAACGCAAGGAAACAGCATTCTGCGAATTTACAAGCCGAGGGAGGACTGGAGAGAAACGGAATTCACTTAGATCGCGGTATGGAGCCTGGGCTCCGGTCTAACTCGCCGGAGGCGCAACTCCTCTCACTACAACGCGCCAATGCGCTTTTGAGAGAATCCGCTTCTCTGCCTGGCCGTGGGCGCGCCGGTGCTCTGTTACGTCACGCAGCTCTCCCGGCGCTTCGGATGCCAGCTGAGGATAACTCGCCGGGCTATCATCGTTATGAGCCAAGCGGTGCCCAGCGTTCTGACAGTAGACGCGATGAATTCCATTTCCCAGCCGATGAAGATCTCTTAGCTGCCCCGGAGATTATTCCAGTTCCTAACCATCACATTGTTGGAGGAACCCAAGTAAGGATCAGGCAGGCGTGACGCAAGGGATGGAAGTTTCGCAAGAGCCCTTTCGTTGTAGCCTTAGCAGGTTCCTAGGAGGTCAAAGTCGTCTGTCGTATTAAATTTGTTGTGTTACTTTTGATTTCAAATTGTGGATGATATTATCGTGTCTTTGTCCATGCCATCATTGTCAGACATCAATTGAGGATAATACTACTCTAACTCTTCTTCGCTCATGTGTACTTCGCTTGACATGAGCTTATTGACATGAACATATTGCTTTTGCAAGGCCCATGTGATTAGTATCTGTTGATTTTGCTTCAAATGGGAACCTTTTATGCGAGGCAACCTCGCGTGCGTAGAATTTAGTGTCGAAGGATTGCGCATTCACTGAGCGCTTTGTGCGAAAGAAAACGACGTTTGGAAATTCAGGAATGTGTGAAAACAGGCGTGCCACAACGTTTCAGATTTTCCTATTCCACTTAATTTCTTAAGGGGACAAAGACTTATCGACAAGCCACGCCCCTAAGACTACAACAGAAGGACCTGAACAATGACTCTTTCGCATGGTAGAGTCATGGTGTGTTTTGATTATGTTTCCTCAAAAATTCACTCAACCCAGCTTTCAAAGCATACACTAGAGACAAAGAGAAGGAAGGCGTTTCGGTTGATCTGTGGCGAGATCTAAGAAGACCGAAACATGGCGAAGATAGTGACGATTTACATGAACCTCTGTTTAATAAGAAACCGCCAGAAAGCGATGAAAAATAAGAGAGAGTTACTGCGTTTGGGAGACGCGTGTTCGCATGTGGCATGGCGGCTAGTTTCTAGTTGTACCACAGGCAACCCAGTCTCGCTCTGTATTCAGAAAGAGTCCTGTGGTCAACCGTTCCGAGCGAGGCTTGATCATAAGCTGCTTTGTGGAAAATCTCAGTCTTATTTTTCAGCCCTTCTTGGTGGTTAGATAGTGGTCGTGTGACGTTTATGTTATTCTGTAAATAAATTATCGGTGTGTTAAATGATAGTTACAAGCCTGGTGGAGGCGATGGATCAACCAACCTCGTTTCCAGGGTCTCTCTCTCCTCGCGCCTCTATGGGTGCAAAGAGAGACCTTGGGAACGAGTTTTGAATCAAGCTCCATTTACGGCAGTTCTCCGCATAAGCGCTCGTATTGCTTCCGATTCTGACTGACCAATCGGGAAATAGCTCGGGTGCTTCCGACTACTCCCGAAGTGTCCACGTCAGCACGGTCCCACGAGGATACGTCTTGGTGGTGTTCCACATCGCGGGCGCAGTCCATTCTTAGAGGTGCCAACTTTGCTCCAGGTCGCCAGACAGGCTTAGTTAAGTCAAAGGGTGTAGAGGAAATAGAAGCTAAAATAAATTAGATAATTAAATGCTAACCAGATAACTAATCAATGCATGTCTATAGAGCGGTTTTCAATTGAGTTTCCAAAGTAATCAGGCAATTACTTTGGTTTTGGTTTTGGTTTTACTACAGTTCAAGATTGGCCGAGTGGTCTAGTTTATAGGCAATTGGTTTGGTTTTGGTTTTACGACACTCAATTGAAAACCACTCTAAACATGGATGAGTGTTATAACTCAAATGGTAGAATCGGTGGAAAAACGTTACTGGTTTTTTTTTTTTGAGTGGTTTAGTATTAACGGTGTTTATGAAAGTGACACAAACTAACACATTTGCTTGGGCATAACAGCAGTAGAGAGGTAGGTAAGATATGACAAATCCCACTGTTTTAAACGGAGTATTGCGCATGAGATTATTAATTTTTCTTGAATAAAAATGTTTTTCACTGCTTATGTTTTGTGTAGTTTGAGATTATTCAAACTCAAAACTGAAGGACCAAAACTGTAGACAGAAATACCTCGCCGAAAGTCACAAAACTCAAATCAAAATTTTCGCTCATCCTGGGTTAGATACAACCTGACCTTGGGTAGAAGTCATCTGTGATTACTCATGGTTTCATCGGCTGATGAGTTCCCTGAAAAGCGCGGATAAAAATATCGTTGTTTGTCGTTTGTAATAAGAGGTTTTTCAAAAAACGGTTGATAAAGAAATAAAAAGATGATGAACATCTGCGATTAGTAATTTTAAAAGATCTAAAAAGAATTTCTTCACTTGGTGTGGTCCCCCATGTCCTTTTCAGGGATAGCGCGAGGAGGAGAATTACTAGCCATAGACTACTCTCCAGCACTTTTAATTACCTCAGAGTTGATTCTCCACTAGTAATCTCGCAAGAGATGTTTGTTTTCTCAGAGGGAGGCGGGCTACCAAAAAAATTTAAGATAAATTTTCTTTTTCAATACGGTGTGTGAAAATTTTTACGGATACCATATGCTATTTATCAACTCGAGGAGCCCCCCATCGCACACCCCTATTCCCGGCCCGAGTTCTGTATTCCGTTGGTGCAGGTCTGAAAACTTCCATTCGCGAGGAAGCCTGGGGTTGAAGCAGAAATTCTCTTTGGTGATAACTTGGCAGGGAGTACCTTGGAAATGGGGCCCATAATGGGGATCACCTCCTTGTTAAAAGTTACAAGGTTCAGAAAGAGCAAAAAGAGCAGTACTCGGAGTCCCTTCGATAAACTAACTTCCACTAAGGTGCACATTGTGTGTATGTTTGTGTGTGTATTCTTGCGAGAAAAGGAAGATTTGAAGGTGCGCGCAGCTCTCGCAAGGTCTCACATGAGTGGCTCGATATCCTTTGATAGAACAATAGAACAAACAACAGAAAAAATTCCACTAGCCCCAAAACAAACCAACTGTTACACCATGCGACAAAAAAAAGTTACAAGTTTACAAGAGCTGTTACACTAACCCCGGTTTTGAAAATCTTAGGAGGGTTTAAAAATAGCTAATCTTGTGACGGGAATTTTTGTCACGTGGACAGGCTAAAGCTGCTTCATGCGCATTTTTGCCCTTCATCCGCGCGAGAAGTGGGTACCAACTGTATGAAAATAACTTGAGGGTAAGGCTTTCATCCTCTCCCGCTTTTCATCAATGTCACTTTACATTTCAAATGATGTTTCTTGACCCCTCAGAGGCCATGGAAGAAGTGCGCAGATGGTTTTCATGTTGTGTTTCCATTGATAGTTCGCTAATCATGGCTTAAAACTCGCATTTGTTTTCGTTTTTGCTTCAGTTTTCTTTTTTTTCGGGGGAGTGGAGGGGGAAGAAATAAACATCTAAAGCTGTTAATGGGAATTCCTGCGTTGTCTGTCCACCAGGCAGATCATTTACCATGTCATTTATGTGGACAACGAGCTTATGGGAAACAATCGATAACATTTGGAAAATTTCAAGATCGTGTTAATGTTGGTATAAAATTTCCATTATATGACTCTAGAATTGACGAATTTTATTTGTTCCTTTAAATTGTCTTGCCTACTGAGATAAGAAAATGGTTCTTAAGATAACAATCTTAATTATCGTTTGACAGTATCATAGCATTGTTTTCCATCGCGCTATTGGGCTATTGTTCTCGTTTTGTTCGTTTCTATAGAATCAGTTATGGTCTTGAGAAAGCACGTCAGTGAGTCGGCAACTAGAATATTCAATGCCCAGAGGGTTCGGCAAAGGTCAGGTCTTGTTACAGAGATAACGGTTTTGAAAGGAGGATTAGTTAATCGGACCTTTCAACGAAAGCCATCTTGATGACAGAATTGAAAGAAACCATACCAGCCGGCTGCAAAGTTACCCTTCTAAAAATGTGATGTGCTCAAATAGGCCCTTTGCAGCTGGGGTCACGTGACCAAATTTTTCCTAAAAAAATTTTGTAGTATGGGCTATAACTAAAAGAATGCCAGAAATGGAAAGAGCGCATCGAAAATACCAAATTGGCCAAGTTTGAGGCCCCAGGAAAAAACGAGTAAGTTTATACCATAGTTTGAATTTTCGGAAAATTTAGAGGATTCGTATGGAAAATGTTGCTGGAGA